CAACACCTTGGGTCTCTTGCACCTTGCCAACCAGGCGGCTCCAGCACATCCAGAGAACCATTTCGTTTAACTAGGTGAGGCTCTCCAAACAACAATGTTTCGACAAAAACATGTGAGTAAATACGCTATTTTAAGTAGAAATAAAAATCACCCCCCCCCCCAAACAACACCCAGAAAGTATCAGCACTCGATAAACTTATTTATCTTATCAGCACTTTTCTTACCACAAAACATGCGGTTCTAACCCAATTTAGTAAACAGTGAACACAAATCAAACACTATGAATCAAATTGGCCTTCCACGACGAGCTATTGAACGATCTGTCATGACTCAAGTTTGGCTCTAAGGGCCACGCGACGACACGCTTAAGCGCTGAGCGGCGCTGACTTTGAGCTGCTTCCGCAGAGCCAGGCGGCCTCTGCCCTCGGTTCATGGCCTCGCCCCACCCGGCTGCAGCGCGGCGCTTATGGCAGCTGATGATCTGATGTGTAGCGGCATGAGCCGAGCACAACACGGAGGGCGAGGGGGGGGGGGTTAATTAGGGGCGACATTAGCATACACTGTAACTGCACAAGTTCTCATATTCGCCGTCGGGATGGTGTGCGGCGAGGTGGGGCGTGGCGAGGCTGGGCGTGGCGCGGGGAGTGGCGCCGCCGCCCACCGCGCGCCAGCGGAGCGGCAGCAGCACAGGTGTGAACGCCACAACACCATTGCCGCCGAGTTGCTTGTCTATGATTCGCACTACTCCAGCAGCCCACCCACCGCGCTAAAGAAAATTGTCGGAAACTGCAGCACATATCTGCGTTCGTTACACATGGCGCAAAACTGCAGGTGGGTGGTGAGTGAATGCATTTCACTTTGTTAGCATGGATTTCCAAAGAGTGCGCTTTCGTTCGCGAAATTAGTAAGACATTTTTCCCCCTTGCCATATCAAAGCGAGACACGCACTGACGTTTTCAGCGGAAGCGTGCCTTTTACACTTCACATCACGGGGCTGTTAACACTGAAAACGGCGGGATAACGGATGTTATCCGCATACGGATAACGCTTTTTATTACCACGTTTTTGTGGGATATTTCTTAAGCAGGCTGTTTGATGTCATTTTCGATTCAACCCTCATAATCCTCGGAAAATTACGGTTCGAACGAGCATAAATATGATAGGGTTCTGAGCTCGATAAACACTTTTACAAGAACGTTGATAAAAGTCGTTTACTTGCACGAGTTAGCAAACTATGAGTTAAAACCCCGGGTTTTACAGTGCACAGGGACTCAAAGCTCAAAAGTGTGCGATTGTAGCCCAGATTTTCGGCAATCGCAATAAATTTGATTATGGGGGAAGTGGAATGGTTTCACAACTCAAACCGATTTTTCATTACCGTTTTGCTAGTTTATTATTTGGCTTTCCACCCAAGTGCTGATAGGTTGACTTTTCTTCGAAGCGAACCCAGTGGGCACGTCATCCGACGGAATGTGTGGATTCCGCGCCATATCCCCGGCCAGCAGGCGCGAATTCCAGCGGGCGCGGGGCGGTACTAGCGCGA